GCTGAACATGTTATCATTGGTGTGCTTCGCGCGTGCCACCACGTTGCAAAACCGGCAGCGGACCTCACTTTGGGAATGTACCCAAACAAAGGCCGCGGCCCGTGACACTGACAGGTTGGACAGCGCTGGGGGGCTCAGTGGGCCGCGGAGGAAGTACGCCTGCGGGCAACTGCCCAAGAAGCATACCTCGAGAAAAGCTTCGCCTCTTTGAGCGCTCTCTCGCGCGCCCCCGCAAGACCCTCCGACACGGCAATCTCAGAGGCACAAACCGTTGCAAAGTGATCTGCCCACGCGTTGCCGAGGACCCATAAGAACGGCACTCTCGGGTTGAAGAGCGCATATTCGAACTCAAGATCCGAGGGCACCCACTCAAACGACGGCGGGGGCACCTGCTGTCCCTCGATCAGCGCGAACACCCCACTCCAGACTAGAGCGTGTTTGGCCGTGCCTCGCGCGAGACACGGTGACCAATCAGCACCTTCGGCCACCAGTGAAGCCAAATCCAACACTATGAGCTTAAGGGAGGGGCACAGCTGTCTGGCCCTGAAAGCGGCCCAATGCTCAGCGTTCCCAACAACCTGTCGCAAGAACCCAGACAGGCTTCCAAAGGCTGCACGGAGAAGGACCCCTTCCCCCGACAGCAACACGACCGACCACCCGCACCTTGTGAGGGCAAGGTTATTCGACATGAGCCCAGAACCGTCCGTGAACGCCACCACCCCCCAGGAGCCCGAGCTCGACTCCCAATCACCGCACAGCAGGGCAGGAGGGTCAGGGACGGGTGGTGGCGGCTTGGCGGGCCCAAAAGGCACCGCCAGACACATGCCTACATGCTCGGCCTCGGCATGCCCCAGGGCACTTGGGCCGTGCGTCCGCATGCACTCGCGGATCCCGGTCAGCTCCTCAGGAAGTTTGTCGCGACCCCCGTAATCTAGACTAGCTCGCAGGCCTGGGCATTCAAACACCATGTGGGAATAGGACCCAGGCTCCAAGTTGCACAACTCGCGCACAACCGAACGTACCAAAGCACGCTCAGCCTTACAAGTTTGAGTCCAAATCCCACCAGCCCAGAGAGCTCTCAACGCACCCGCGTGGGCAGCACGCTTGACAGCCGCAGAGGCGCCCCCCCCCCCACCCCACCCCCCCACCCCACCCCACCCCATCCTTGTTCCTTATCACTATATACCCCCACCTACCTCGTATTCCGGCCGATAGCGACCCAATCCGGGACCTCCCATCCGGACTGTAAAAAATCAATACAAAGTTGCCGTTTTTCTTCTCAACATCGTTTTTCTTGTCGTCGACGATGCGAAAAACGTGGCAGCAATGGGACGCGGCGCACATCGCGCGCGGCAGTCAATCTGGGCCCGCCCATCCTGACTGCAAAAAATCAATCCAAAGTCTTCGCTTTTTCCTCTCAGCATGGCCTGCCTTGTCGCCGACGGTGCGAAATATGTGGCAGCAATGGGACGCGGCGCACATGTGGGACGCGGCGCACGTCGCGCGCGGCCGTCAATCTGGGCCTGCCCATCCTGACTGTAAAACATCCATACAAAGTCTCCATTTTTTCCACTCAGCACGGCTTGCCTTGTCGTCGACGGTGCGAAATATGTGGCAGGAATGGGGCGCGGCGCACATTGCGCGCGGACGTCCATGCGGGCCGCGGGCCCTCCCATCCTGACGGTAAAAAACAATACATAGTACCACTACCACTACCACTACTACTACTACTACTACTACTACTACTACTACTACTACTACTACTACTACTACTACTACTACGACTACTACTACTACTACTACTACTACTACTACTACTACTACTACTACTACTACTACACTACTACTACTACTACTACTACTACTACTACTACTACTACTACTACTACTACTACTACTACTACTACTACTACTACTACGACTACGACTACTACTACTACTACTACTACTACTACTACTACTACTACTACTACTATACTGCTACTACTCCTACTACTACTACTACTACTAACTACAACAACAACAACAACTACTACTACTACTACTACGACTACTACTACTACTACTGCTTCTACTACTACTACTACTACTACTACTACTACTACTACTACTACTGCTACTAAGACTACTACTACTACTACTACTACTACTACTACTACTACTACTACTACTACTACTACTACTACACTACTACTACTACTACTACTACTACTACTACTACTACTACTACTACTACTACTACTACTACTACTACACTACCACTACTACTACCACTACTACTACTACTACTACTACTACTACTACTACTACTACTACTACTACTACTACTACTACTACTACTACTACTACTACTACTACTACTACTACTACTACTACTACTACTACTACTACTACTACTACTACTACTACTACTACTACTACTACTACTACTACTACTACTACTACTACTACTACTACTACTACTACTACTACTACTACTACTACTACTACTACTACTACTACTACTACTACTACTACTACTACTACTACTACTACTACTACTACTACTACTACTACTACTACTACTACTACTACTACTACTACTACTACTACTACTACTACTACTACTACTACTACTACTACTACTACTACTACTACTACTACTACTACTACTACTACTACTACTACTACTACTACTACTACTACTACTACTACTACTACTACTACTACTACTACTACTACTACCACCACCACCACTACGCGCCAGCATCCGGTTGCGCCAGCATTGTTTCTTATGTTGTGGGAGGGCGGAACGTGTCCGTTGTTCCTTTCAACATGGCCAGTCTTGTCGTCGACGATGCGAAATGCGTGGCGGTAATGGGACGCGGCGCACATCCCGCGCGGACGTCAATGCGGTGTCCTGGGGTATCCCCCACTCGCACTGAAATGCCCACGCAGCCCCCAGTTGTGCCACCACTGTTTCTTATGTTGTGGGAGGGCGGGTGGGAATGGGCATGCCATGCTTGACTCGCCCGAGCTGGCTAGCTTGACCCCACCCCACCCCCGCCACAGCACCGCACGGCCCGCGTCCAGACCACCCCATGCCGAGGCAGATTCGCGTGGCGATCGAGGAGCCTCGTGGCCTGCCACCTCTCGATGCTGGCCCCGAGCCTCTCCCGCACGTAAGCGGGGGGCACCAAAAGCACGGAAAACACTCGCCTGAGCCATCGACAAGGAGCACTGATGATCTCACAGCCCAGTCAACGCGCCGAAGAGAGACCCAGACCACCGCCATCGGGCCGCTAGCGCGGGCCCAACCAGCGCGGCACCTGTCACAGTTTAGAGCGAGGGCCCTGCAGGCCCGCTCCAACCTGCCAAGAGATACAGTCGCATCCCAGATGGCTTGGGAGTATGTTATGGCTGGGCACAAAGTGGCATCAAAAATCTGGCCATACCAAGGGTCTCTCTGGGCCACCAAGTACGCAGTGGGCCCAGAGGAGCCTGCCGCAGCCCTCGCGAGAGCCCCAGCGGCGCGACGCAACGTCCTGAGGACTTTGTCTGGGGCCCCGCTATCCGCGGCGAAATGGCTGGCCGAACTCAACAACCCCGAATGCCAAATGACAGACGCCTTGCTCCAAACAGCACTTCGGAACGCCTTCGCTCGAACAACTCGTTCCTTCAACTTGCGCATCCTGGCTCGAGCCCGGCGGCGCCTTTGATCAGCGCCGCGCAGCTCATGGCTAAGATCCCTGGTACAGGACTTACTGGACCGATGGCGGCCGCAGACCTGCGCGCCACGCGCGCGGCCTGCGGGCAGGCTGCCACTTCGCTGGGCCTGTCCATCTGCAGGGTCAGGCCAAGCTGCCCTGCCTGCAGGATGAAAGCCTCGACTGCAAGAAAGAACTGAAACACCATGGTCGTGCCCACGCCCGCCCACTGCAGCGCCAGGTCATCAACGAGAGCCCTCGGCGCCACGCGCAGGGCACGCAACCGTCTCGCGATGCGGCAAGCCAGTAGCGTCAGCATCATCGTGGAGTGCGAGCAGCCCGCCAGCATCCCTTGAGTCGCGGCAAACTGCGTCAACCAGGAATCAAATGATTTGGCCACTCTCGGCTGCCGGTGGCACTGCAGCAACATCCATCGCAATCTCGTCGGGCACCCACATGCACGGCCCTCGGATAGCAAGGCGCGACGATCCAAGCACTCGAAGCATTTGCATGCATCAAGGACCGCGGTGACCGCCTTCTCTCCAAGCAACTGCGCCACTTCCGACTCCAGCTTGTGGGAAAAAGCAGCATGGCTGGAGGACATGCCAGGGCCACCGCAGCCCCGAATGTCAGGTATGTCTGCGCCTCTGAGCTACGCCTTTGATATAGGTGACCTCACCTTGGCCCACAGCCGCACCAGCGTCTGCACCAGCGCGATGGGCCGATGCCCGCTTTCTGCCTTCGGCAGCCGCACCAGCTCGTTGACGATACGCTCGTCAGGCCACCTCAGTAGCACCTCGCAACGATTGTAAAGAGCTGCCAGCGCGTCCAGACCCTCATCAGACAGCTGCTGCAACGCCCCCAGCGCAATCCGTGACGGACCTGCGGCCGCACTCTTCGAGAACGCGGCGCAGACACGGCGCAGCTGAGGCCCAGCCAGCGGAGGCAGCGGCCCCCACCTCTGAGCACCCCCTGGCACCTCGAGCGGCTCAAAGCCATGGCAGATCCACACCCCATTCCATCTGGACAGCTCTCGCTCGGCTAGTGCATGGGCTTCTCGGCATACAGCTGCACCTATCACCTCCTGCAATCCTGCGACCTTGGTGTCCCGATGGGCTTGCCCCGATCCGCCTCTGATATACGCTTGATGCGCCCATTCCTTGAATTTTGCGTTCCTGGCATATGGATAGTGTCGTAGTTGGTGCTGCGCTTCTTTTAGGACGGCCTCAACCGTGGCCTGGAAGTCGCCCGCCGTGAACACCTTGAACCCACGACGGAAGAAGGCGCCAACCCATTCAGATAACGTCTTGAGCACTACAGCATTGCCCACAAGCCGCCCGTGAAAGCCAATACTTCCATGAAGAAGCCCAGAATGTCGTCAAACTGGTGGTCGCTTGGGGCGCACATCGCACTGGCAGCCTGCAGCCTCTGGATCTCAATGGCCATGAGCGAGCGCGCGGCGCCGAGGTGCTCCGCTCACTTAGCCGCCGCGCCCCACGCACGCGCCCGCTTGCTCGGCTGCAACCTTTTTGCGCGGCGGCTTCCACTTGCGAACCACCCACTCGGTACAGCTAGCTCCTCCCCGGCCGCTACGTTTCGCCCGATCTCTGTCAGTCACGCCCCATCGGTCGAGCAGCTCATACCCCACCTCCAGCAGCACCGCACCCCCGTCTACCCGGGGGCCCGCCTGAGTCGAGGCAGCGTCGATGAGGTGCACCACTCTCTCCCTGTCTCTGGGGGGCCCAGCGCAATCGACAGGCGGATTCGCTGCGATCGGGGCCAGCTCGTCGGGTACCCTGCACCACATGGGAACGTCCACCACCTGCAGCTGATAGAGCACTGGCCTGCGTGGCGAAGTAAGCGCTGCCTCGCCCACTACGGGTCGCCTGACTTTGGTAAACAGATTGGCCGCCACCAGAGCGCAGTCGATCACCGACCCTCTCTCACCCTGACGGCGCGCGGCGGCTGCGGTCGCCATCGCGACGCCACCCAACGCATGGATCCAGTTGCAGCCCAGCTCATCGACCACCATGTTGAAACCTCCCAACACGACACAATACATGCACAGGCAGTTGAGCACATGAACATACTGCAGCAACGTGCTCAGCGTCTCCTCGCCCGCCGCGCTGCGCCAATCGCTAGGCCGAGGGTCGGCTGAGATGAACACAATGCCCCTCTTCACCCCCCAGTGCGCGCGAGCAGCCACCAGCCTCCCCTCTTGGAGCACTGGCGATGCTGTGGCTGGCGGCCACGCGAGCGAAATACGGTTCTTAGCGAGCACCGCGACCCCCGCGGACGTGCCTGACCCATTGCTGGGGGGGCAACAGGCGCCCAGATGCCATGATATCCAACGTCGCGGAGCCTGGACTGCACTCGGTCAAGGCTTGCCCTCCGTGGCACGGTGCTCTTGCACCGCAACGGTGGCGCGCCCAGGCATGCCACCCATGCAATCACAAGGGCCCATGAGAGGTAGAGTTGACCGCGGCAAAGCACCCCGTGAACATGCCAGCAGGTGGAGCCCCACTATGTCGGAGCCTCCTCCTGTCGCGGGCAACGGCACCTGGCGAGTCACACATGGAACAGCCGTGCGGCTGTGCCGTCCTCGGGGGGGGGAACCCTGGGGCGCTCGGAGAGCTGCCCCCATACCCCCCCCCCCCCCCCCCCCCCCGGCAAACGCGCCGCCCCTCGCGGCAGTCAGCGACAACACCTGGGGGGGCGGCCTTAGGGTACTCGCCGAGCTCTTCCCCTACCACCCCACCCCCCAACCCGCGGCAGTCGGATCCCGCCCACGCTGCCGCGCAGGCAGCGACGCGATTCCCGCTCCTCGCGCCGACAGCAACCCCTGAACTGGGGCCCGCGGCGCTGCCGACGGCAGCGCCGACGGCAGCCCTCGAACGGACGCCCGCGGCACTCGGAGGGCCCACGAGCCCCGCATCTGCCGCGTCCTCCACCGCCTCGCCAGGCGCACGAGCAGCTGCTAGGCACCCTGGCCCACGTGGCGACCCATTGCCTGGTAGCTGCGATGGCACACCAGGTCTTGGCGTCCAAACGCCCGTCGCACGGAGCCTCGTAGCCGCGATGGCACACCTGGGCTTTGCGCTCTAACAGCAGACGAGGACGCACTCTGACTTGCCGATGTCCCCAGCCCAGGGGAGGCACGTCCCTGGCCATCTGGGGAGGTAGACGACGTCACCAACAGCCGTGACGATGTCCTCAGCCCAGGGGGGGACATCCCTGGCCATCTGAGGAAGTAGCCGGAATCGCCCTCCGACGCGCCGCTGTCCCCAGCCCAAGGGACACGCATCCCTGGCAATCGGGGGAGGTAGCCGACATCGCCATACGACCAGCAGCAACCCCCAGCCCAGGGGAAGAGCGCCCCCGGCCATCTGGGGAGGCAGGCGCCCGAGCCGTCCGACCTGCCGCTGCCCCCAGCCCAGGGGAGACACACCCCTGGCCATCCGGGGACACCAATGCTGCATCGCGGCTCGAAACAAGATCCGCTCCTAGTTCGTCGCCCGCCCCCCAGTCCAGGAGCACGACCGGGTCGACCTCGCCCTCATCCAGCATCGTTCTCGGGGGAAAAGGAACCGCACCAGCACGCAACGCGACCTCTTCTCCGGCAACGCCACCTGCAGACGCAACAGACACCATCGTCATGATCTGGATCGATGCCAACACAGCCCGCAAGGACATCCAACCCTTAGAACCGAGAAAGGGCCCTGATACCTTGCCTGATCTGCTTGGCCAGGAGTCGCGCTTTGTCTTCAGCCTCGGGGACCTTGTGGCCAGCCGCCAGGATGAAATCCTTGACAGCCTCCAGCGGCTTGGTGGCCTCGGGTCTGTCTGGCGGGGCTGCAGCTGCGTCTGCTTCGCTCCCTTCAGGCTCTGCAATGCGGGCCTTCTTCGCCACCATCTCGGTGGGCCTGCCATGGGGCACCTTTGGCAAGGACTCGACCAGCTCGCCACCTCTTGCAACTCACACGATCTCCTCCAAGTCCGCGAGGGCGATCTCCGCATCGTACAGTTGCGCGCTGCCCCCCGTCCTTTTTCGAAGGCGGGTTGGCACTGATAGACCCCACCTCCCGCATGGTCTGCTCCACCTCGAGCACATCCTTGCGATGCTGGTCGAGCTGCATATTATCATTACCGATCTCGGCCTGAACGCCGCGATCTGCTTCGTCTTGGCCGCGACCGCAGCCTCGGCCTTCTCGATGCGCGCCTCGGCCCGCCCCAGCTTCTCGTTGAGGCCATTGAGCTGCGCCGAAACTGGCTGCGCACCGCGCAGTTCCGCAAGGATGCCAGCGTGCTCCTTCTGCAACGCCGCACGATAGGCCTGGGCACTCTCCGAAGCATCATCCTTGGTGCACTCGAGAACGCGGTCGATCTCAGCGAGCCTCTGCTTCTTCGCCCCCGCTTGGGAGCAGCCTTCATCAACGACCTCCGTTGCCCTGGCCTGCTTGGCCTGGGCAGAGCTGCGCTTCCAGGCCTCGCGCTCCGTGTCGGATGCAGCCTGCATTTGCTGCGTGCGCGATTCCATTCGCTTGGTGATCATCTCCACCTCCGTAGCCTGACTCGACGCGCCCCCGTTCTGCTGCTTCGCAGAGATCGACGGCGCCTTTTGCTGCACGTTTCCCTTGAGCGCTGCAGCCTTGCACGTCTTGCACCTGGCGCACTCCAACTTCTCAGCCCCATTGATCCACGGCAAGCCAGAAGGCTTGTGGACACAACACCTGCACATTCACCTCTGGCGTCGGTCGTCTCTGCTGCCACCATTGTGCAATCCCATCGACACAGTGTGAAACCGTCGGAAGTGCGAGCCCGAACGGACTCGGAAAGAAACTCGCAGCCTAGGCAGACAGGCCGAGCGTAAACTCGGAAGCAAACCGCGGACTAGCGGCATTCGTTTCACGGCCGGGGACAGCCCAAACCTGGAGCCAGAACGGCTACGGGTCTGGAGTCGTGCTCCCAGGACCACGAAACTTCGTAAATGATGCGGGGTGCACGCTCCCAGGGCCACACGGCCCCGCGCAAATTGCGCTGCGTCCGCGCCACGAGGGCCGCGATGTCTCAGGAGCTGCGCTGTGCATCTGCGCTCCCAGGGCCACGTGCCCGCGCCCCCAGGGCCGCGATATCCAGCCTAGATGAAGCTGGGCTCGCGGTCCCAGAGCCACGATCCATAATAAGACACGTTGGGTTCGCGCTCGCGGGGCCACGATCCAGCGCAAATTACACTGGGTTCGCGCTCCGAGGGCCACGATCCCTCGTACATGATGCCGCGTTCGCGCTCCCAAGGCCACGTTCCCCCGTGAATGGTGCTGCTTCCGCGCTCCTAAAGGCCACGATCCCTCACAAACTAGGTTGCGTCCGCGCTCCCGGGGTCACGAAACACGGCGCGGAGGTTACCCCAAAAGGGCACCCCCCCCATCACCGGAGCAGAGACCACTACTTTTTAAAAGTACTGGGATCTGCGTTCGGGGCGCGCGTTTGGGCCCCCCCGCCGGTTCCTAAAAGTCAAGCGCTGGACCTGAAGCTCGTGAATCACGCTGCGGCCGCGCGCCCGAGGCCGTGACTCCTCGCGCAGCACGCTGGACTCGCGCTCCGAGGGCCACGACCCCTTGTAAGCTAGATTGGGTTCGCACCCTCAGGGCCACGAAGCGCACTGGGCAGGGGGATTCAACAAACAAATGCGTGTAGAAATCAGACTTCAACGCTCCAGCTCGACACCCCATCGCCTATTGCTAAGGAGTGGCGCCCCTGCGAGCCGCCGAAAACTGGGGCCCTCCCACAATACCAGCGCTCCCACCCCACTTCTCCTGGCTCCTTGTTGAGGGCGTGGCGCTCACGCGTCCGCGCCGAATGTACCGGCCACCGCAGAGCAACAAACCTCACGCTCGGCACCTCCCTGCCGTAATAACTCTCCCGCTCGATACGTGTCCCAGAAAGCCGAAGTGCCTCGGGATAGAAGTTGCGCGCTCGAACTCCTTGGGCGGGACATCTGGACGAGGGACCACCGGCCCTCCCTTTTCATGCAGTTTCCCCTTGAAGGGCTGGCATCATGATGGACGCATGAAGCGTTTTTCCTGCGGGAGCAAGGAGCAGCAGCTGCTGAGACCATTAGGCCCTGTCAAAAGACGAAAAACCGTCAGCTGGTGGACTGAGAGAAGCCATGTGCACAACTTGCTGCACCGGCACTGGCATCACAACGACACTCAGGACTCTGAGGCGGCTCCATCCGACACCCTGGGGAAAACTGAGCCGCCGCGGAACGCTTCCGGGTCGACTCTGCGCGTCAGAGCCGCGTCGGACTCAAGAGGTAACACTCCTTTGCAGGGCGGACCAGGGGCTGCCGAATCTACGAGAGGAACCGCCACGACCACCCGGACGGCCGGGTCGGCGATGCCGGCAAGACAGCACGGCACGGGCGCCGGGCTCGGCGCGAGGACCGCCGGCTCGAGCCGGCCGCCAGGAGCGGGTGGAGCGACCGCCAGCTCGAGACGCAAAGCACCCGCAACTCGAAGCTGGGCGAGAGCGGGAGAGAGAGAGAGAGAGAGAGAGAGAGCGACTGGAGCAGGGAGGGGGTGCTGCCAGAAGTACCCCTGACCCAAGGTGCCCCCGGGATTCTCGGGGTGGCACAGGCGGCCTCCAGGGCACCCCTCACGAGGCCCAGAGGGCCCCAGGGGCTCCAAAATGGAGCGAAAAGCTGGGGGCACCTTGGGCCAGGGGCACTTCTCTAGCAACACCCGAAGGGAGGGGGACGGGAGGAGGAGGAGAGGGAGAGGCTGGCCGATCAAGCGAGCTCCGCGTGGAGCGGCCAGCTTGATCAAGCCGGGGCGCCCGGCGAATGGACCACACGCTGCAGCAGGAGGAGGGCCCTCCCCGCGCCCTCGAGGCACGAGCTGGAGTCGGCAGGTCCTTGGACGAATCCCTTACACTCGACCAGGATAGTAAGGATGCGCGGTAAGGATGCAAGGGCCTTGGAACGCCAAGTTGACGTTTTCCGTGCGGAGCGCAGCAGAATGCCGAAGGATGACGAATACCGAAGGGGCAAGGATGCAAGGGTAGCCGAATACCGAAGGATGCCGAATACCGAGGGGGAAAGTTGCCCCATCCCTACTATCATGGTTGACTGTAAGCCTCAATCCTCCATCCGGAGGCTTCTTCCCAGGGGGCCGGAATCCCCACCTCGCCAATCTTCCAGGCTCCCGACGTGCCCCCATGGGCCCCGTCGCGGCTTGTCGCACGACGCTGCAGGGCCCCAAGACGGGCCGAGGCGGTCCCAAGAGGGCCCCGAGACGGTCCCAAGAGGGCCCCCGATTGCTGAACAATCGGTCCAAGGCGCCCCAGCAAGCCTCCTGTCGGCCGAGAGAGTATCCGAGACGTCCCAAGAGGCCTCCGAGAGCTTTCCCAAGAGGGCCCCGGGAGGTCAAGATCATTCCTTGTCCTGACATGCTTCTATGTTTTTGAGGTTATCCACGTGTCGAGCTTCCGACGCTCCAAGATGCCCTCCAAAGGCCCCCCAGACCGCCCCAAGACGGCCCCAGAGACCCCAAGAGGCCCCCAAGAGGACCCCAAGCCAGTCCAAGAGGGGCCCCAAGACGGGCCGAAAGGTCCCCAAAACGGCCCAGAGAGGGGCCCCAGAGGGGGGAACACGAACTGAAAATCCGAGCCTTCCGCCCCCAGAGGCACCAAAGAGGCCCCAAGAGGCCACCAAGAGGCCCCCAAGAGGCCCCCACGGGGCCCCCAAAACAGCATCGCCGAAGCAGCAAAACTGCCTCCAGCAGGCCCCCGAGAGGCCTCGACGAGATCTCATCTAACATCCAAGAGACCTCAGACCCATAACCCAGGCACGGTGGCGGGATTGGCCGAAGGCCATTCGATCCGCCGCTCCCTGTCGATTCATCGCAGGGGTGCCTGGCGTGCCGAATTACTACGGTTTTGGATTTTGGTTCTTCTTCCAAAAGAAATCCCCCTTGGGCTTCGGCCCGTCCCGCAGGGGTGCCGGGAGGATTGCCCAGAGGGGGTTGCAAAGCGTTTTTCCTGCTCCAGACGGCTCCAAGACGGCCCGAGATGGCCTCCAAGACGGCTAAGATGGCCCCAAGATGCCTCCAAGACGGCCCAAGACGGCCCAAGAGGCCCCCAAGAGGCCTCCAAGACAGCCCAAGAGGCCTCCAAGAGGTCCTCCAGGAGGGCCCGAAGAGGCCAAAATCATTGATTATCCTTAGGTTTTTGAAGGATTTGGGCATTCGCTTCTTCTCGGCTTGCCGACGACCCAAGACGGCCCAAGAGGCCCCCAAGATCGCCCCCAGGCCTCCAAGATGGCATCAGGACCCAAGATGGCCTCTAAGACGGCCCTGGAGCACCCCAAGAGGGCCGCAAGTCGGCCCAGAAAGGCCCCCCAAACGGCTTCCGACGGCGTCAGACGGGCCAGGAGCCCACCGAGATGGCCGAAGTTGGCTCGAAGCTGGCCCAAGACGGCTCAAGAGGCCTCCGAGAGGGCCTCCAGGAAGGCCCGAAAAGGCCAAAACCATTTATTTTCCATAGGTTTTCGAAGGATTTTGACATGTGCTTCATTTCGGCCTTCCGACGACCCGATACGGCCCAAGAGCCCCCAAAGATCGCCCAAAGATCGCGCAAGATGCCTCCAAGATGGCCCCAGAACGGCCCAAGAGGCCCCCAAGACAGCCCCAAGAGGCCCCCAAGACGGCCCAGGAGGCTTTTAAGACGCCCAAGATGGCCTCCTAGACGGCCCTGGAGCACCCCAAGAGGGCCGCACCGCAAGTCGGCCCAGAAAGGCCCCCCAAACGGCTTCCGACGGCGTTGGACGGGCCAGGGGCCCACCCCAGACGGCCGAAGATGGCACTAAGATGGCCCAAGACGGCCCAAGAGGCCTCCAAGAGGGCCTCCAGGAAGGCCCGAAAAGGCCAAAATAATTGATTTCCCTTAGAGTTTTGAAGGATTGTAGCATTTGCTCTTTTTCTGCCTTCCGACGGCCCGAGACGGCCCAAGAGCCCCCAAAGATCGCCCAAGAGGCCCAAGACGGCCCCAAGAGGCCCCCAAGACGGCCCAAGAGGCCTCCAAGACGCTCAAGATGGCCTCCAAGACGACCCAAGAGCCCTCCAAGACGTCCCCCAAGAAGGCCCGAAAGGGTCAAAATGGCCTCCAGGCGGCCAAGATGACCTTCAAGATGCCCACGTTTCCCCGAAGGCTTTCCAAATCGATTCGGGGAACACATGGCCCGATAGCTTGGCAGGTCTGGCCTCAACGTTCGGCCACATAGGCGCTTCCAAAAAGGCAGGGGGTGGCGGTGATTCGCCGTAGGCGTCTTCGATCCGCCGCCCCCTGTCGATTCATCGCAGGGGTGCCTGGCGTGCCGAAATATTACGGTTTTGGTTTTGGGTCTTTTTCCAGAATAACTCCCCCTGGGGCTTCGGCCCGTCCCGCCGGGGTACTGGGAAGGACCTCAATCCGGAAAAAAATCCTCCATGACGGCTCAAGATGGCCTCCAAGATGGCCACGTTGGCCCAAGATGGCCTCCAGGATGGTTCAAGATGGCCTCCAAGACGGCCTCCCAGACGGCCCAAGAGAGTCCAAGACAGCCCAAGACGGCCCAAGAGGTCCCCCAGAGGCCTCCAAGACGCCCCAAGAGGCCTCCAAGAGGTCCTCCAGAAGGGCCCGAAGAGGCCAAAACCCTTGATTTTCCTATGGTATTTGAAGGATGTTGGCATTCGCTTCTTCTCGGCTTGCCGACGACCCATGACGGCCCAAGAGGCCCCCAAGATCGCCCCCACAGCGCCAAAGAGGCCTCCAAGATAGCCTCAGGACTGCCCACGAGGCCCCCAAGAGGGCACAAGGACGACCCAAAAGGCCCCCAAGACGCCCAAGATGGCCTCTAAGACGGCCCTGGAGCACCCCAAGAGGGCCCGAAGTCGGCTCAGAAAGGCCCCCCTAACGGCTTCCGACGGCGTCAGACGGGCCAGGAGCCCACCAAGATGGCCGAAGTTGGCTCGAAGCTGGCCCAAGACGGCCGCCCAAGAGGCCTCCAAGAGGGCCTCCAGGAAGGCCCGAAAAGGCCAAAACCACTTACTTTCCTTTGGTTTTTGAAGGATTTTGACATGTGCTTCGTTTCGGCCTTCCGACGGCCCGAGACGGGCTCTTGACCGCCCAAAGATCGCCCAAGAGGCCTCCAAGATGGCCCCAGAACAGCCCAAGAGGCCCCCAAGACGGCCCCAAGAGGCCCCCAAGACGGCCCAGGAGGCTTTTAAGACGCTCAAGATGGCCTCCTAGACGGCCCTGGAGCACCCCAAGAGGGCCGCAAGTCGGCCCAGAAAGGCCCCCCAAACGGCTTCCGACGGCGTCGGACGGGCCAGGGGCCCACCCCAGACGGCCGTAGATGGCACGAGGATGGCCCAAGACGGCCCAAGAGGCCTCCAAGAGGGCCTCCAGGAAGGCCCGAAAAGGCCAAAATAATTGATTTCCCATGAGTTTTGAAGGATTGTGGCATTTGCTCTTTTTCGGCCTTCCAACGGCCCGAGACGGCCCCAGAGCCCCCAAAGATCGCCCAAGAGGCCCAAGACGGCCCCAAGAGGCCCCCAAGACGGCCCAAGAGGCCTCCAAGACGCTCAAGATTGCCTCCAAGACGGCCCAAGAGCCCTCCAAGACGTCCTCCAAGAAGGTCCGAAAGGGTCAAAATGGCCTCCAGGCGGCCAAGATGACCTTCATGATGCCCACGTGTTCCCCGAAGGCTTTCCAAACCGATTCGGGGAACACATGGCCCGATAGCTTGGCAGGTTCGGCCTCAACGTTCGGCCACATAGGCGCTTCCAAAAAGGCAGGGGGGCGGCGGTGATTCGCCGTAGGCGTCTTCGATCCGCCGCCCCCTGTGGTCTTAGCCCCCTGTGGTCTTACCACAGGGGTGCCTGGCGTGCTAGACCCTACCGTTGTTGATTTCAGTTCTTCTCCAAAGGAACTCCCCCTGGGGCTTCGGCCCAGCGCGCCGGCCCCCAGAAGGCCGCACAATCCGCTGAAACAAATGCCCAATCGCCTCCAAGACAGCCAAGATGGCCCAAGATGGCATCCAAGTTCGCCCACGATGGTCCAAGATGGCCTCCAAGACAGCCCGAGAGGGTACAAGATGCCTCCCAAGTCTGCCCAAAAAGCCACCGAGACGGTGCAAGCTGGCCTCACGGCCCAAGACGCCCCCAAGAGGCGTCCAAGACGGTTCCAGAGGCCTCCAAGAGCTCCTCCAGGAAGCCCCGACGAAGCCAAAATCATTGATTTTCCGTAGGTGTTTGAAGGATTTGGGCACTTCCATCTTTTCGGCGATCCGACGGCCCAAGCCTTGACTTCACTCAGGTGTTTGCAGAATGTTGCCCTTTGCGCATGTTCGGCCTTCCGACGGCCCAAGACGGCCCAAAAGGGTCCCACGATCGCCCAAAGATGGCCCCAAAGGCCTCCAAGATCACCTCATGACGGCCCAAGAAGCCTCCAAAACGACTCAATAGGGCCCCAAGACGGCCTAAAATGCCTCCAAGACCCCCATGGTGGCCTCCAAGACGGCCCTCAAGCGCGGCCCCAAGTCGCTACAGAGAGGCTCCCGAGACGGCTCCCGGTGTCGTCAGACGGGCCAGGGACGCCTTCAGACGACCAAAGAGGCTGCCAAGAAGCCCCGAAGGCCCCCAAGAGGCCCAAAGAAGCCCAAAGAGGCTTCTAAGAGGCCTCCAAGAGGCCCACAAGAAGCTCCCAGAAGGCCCCAAGAGTCCTCCTCCCCCTCGTCCTCAGCCTCCCCCCTCTTCCGCCTCCTATTCCTCCTCCTCCCCCCCCTCCTCCTCCTCCTCCTCCTCCTCCTCCTCCACCTCCTCCTCCTTCCCCATCCGCCTCTTCCGCCTGCTCCTCCTCCTCCTCATCTTCCTCCTCCTCCTCCTCCTCCTCCTCCTCCTCCTCCTCTTCCTCCTCCTTCTCCTCCTCCTTCTCCTCCTCCTCCTCCTCCTCCCTCTCTTCCGCTTCTTCTTTCTCCCCCGCGTGTTCCCCGAAGGCTTTCCACAACGGCTGGGGGAACACATGGCCGGATAGCGATAGCTTGGCAGAGCTCTGGCCATAACGTTCGGCCACGTGGGCGATTCCAAAAGGCAGGGGGCGGCGGTGATTCGCCGTAGGCGTCTTCGATAGCTGCAAGAAACACAGGAGATCAGAAGAGGAATTCGGGAAGGTGGGAGGTACAGCACGGAGCGGTGAACATGCTCAAGGTGCATGTCAGAGTGAGGGGACCGAACGGTCATTCACTGTCCCTGGGTGCGTGGCTGAAGTGGGAGTCCGCAGTGCGGATTGTTGTTGCATTGTTGGTTGGTGTCGTTGGTTGTTTGGTGTTTGTTGCTTGCTGTTTGTTGTTGTTAAACTCCCACTACCGAAGAACAAGTATTGTTGATCCACCCCCTGGTGACCATTGTGTTTTTCAATTGAGGTATTTCCCCCCGGGCTCGCACCCTGTATTCCTGATCAGGGAAAGTCACTAAGGTCAAACTGCGGCGTTGGCCCTCGAACTACAACAACAGAGGCTCCCGCCTGATTCTTCCTCACAATGTATTCCCAAATCGCGCTCTCGCGCGGGACTTCCTCAATTTATTCAGGAATCGTGCTCTCGCGAGGGGCTTCCTCGCAAGTTATTCAGGCGCCGCGCCCTCGACATTCAGGAGTCACGCTCTCGCTGTGGATTTCCTCACACTTGATTTGGGAACCGAGCTGTCCCTCGAGACTTCCTCGCGATTCATGCAGGACCCACGCTTGAGCAACCAGCCTGCTCGACCTGGCCGCCTGGGCCCTCCTTCCCGACCCGCCTGGCAGGGTCTACCCGCCCGATCTGCCCGTCTGGTTCTGCCACGTGCTTTCTGCTCCTAGCCCGTGCTCCATCCTCCTCCCTCCCCCGTATCCTTCCTTCCATCCGTCCTCCCTTCCCCTGCCTCAGGGACTGCGCGCGCGAAATACACGTTGCAGGTAAGAAAGATCTACCCCCAAGGGGGTACGGTCGAGGACGAAGAGGCCGAGTATCGAGGGTTCGGGATATTCGTGATGGATGGCACGCGAGCAGGTAAGAGCAAACAGTCTGAAACTGATTGTTATTATAGTTGTTGGTGGGGTTATTGTTGTTATGGTTGCTACTGAAACTGCTGCTGCCATCGTGGTCCCACTCGCGACCCAACCTGCGGCCCACCCGCGACCCACCCGCGACCCAGCCCGCAACCCACCCGCGACCCACCCGCGACCCACACGCGAGCCAGCCCGCGACCAACCCACGACCAACCCGCGACCCACCCGCGACCCACCCGCGACCCACCCGCGACCCACCCCACGACTCACCCGCGACCCGCCTGCGACCCACCCGCGACCCACACCGCGCCCGCCTCCTCACTCTTATCCGCAACTGCGGGGCGCTACAGAAAATTGCGACCATGGTGAATGGTTCGTGATGGCCGAGAGGTATTGGCGCTCGTCCAAGCGGTGTGCATCTATAAGAGCGATGACCTGACTGTCAATAGCCGGGTGTTGAAAAACATGTTGACCCTCGAGAGCCTGTCACCGGGACAAGCACACGAGAGCTGTGACCGCGAAGGAGGAGACAAACGTAGCCAGGACCGTTCTGGACCGCCGAAACCCGAAGTGAAGGCAGCTTCGTCGGGGTCACGCCAGACGAGGGCTGCGTAGTCGGTACCGCACTTTATATGATTGAGGGTCAAGATGGCAACGTAGTCGGGAACGTACAGAGTCAAGCGAATGCGCCAGTGGCGAGAGGGCGTCGCAGCGCGGGACGGAGACATCGGGGGCAGATCGAGAGAGCGGCGGGACGGACGGCGTCCGTGATGTGAGCCGCAGCGGCAACTCGTTCACACGGCCACGGCAGCCCCCTCGGGCTCGGGCTCGGGCGTCTGAAGCCAAGGGCCTGGCGTGGGCAACCACGGGCCCTGGGATGTTGAGGGCGCATTGGGCTCATCAGTCGTCTCGTTCTTGGTGTGCTTCGACGCGTAGATGCGGCGGATCTGCGAGTCCAATGATGCAACCACCTTCAGGTTGACCTCTTTGTCCTTGAGATTCGTGACCAGGATGTCGTCTTTGGACAGCGTCGCGATCGCATCCCAAGCGCTTCTTGAGTGCCATGCCGCCAGCAAGAAAGATCGGCTCCCCACATCCTTTCCATTTGCCGAGCGTATACCGTGCACTTGTATACGAAGGCGATCATCGGTAGCCGGCACTAGCCCATCCTTCGTTGGCATCTTAGTGGCGATCCAGCACTCAACATTCGGCCAAAACCTTTGGTTGTAGATACGCTCGTACATGATGATCACCCTGCAACCGAGGAAGATGAAAGGCAAGATGTTCTCCAGGGTCCGCCTGAACTCCCTCTCCTCATCATCGTTGCGCCCGCCACCCATCCACTGAGGGGCGCATGTCCAATCCAGCCACAAGTACCTGATTGACGAGCCTGTCAATTCCTCTTGAAGTTTACGCAACTTCGCGCAATCTGGGTCGGGATGCTCTGGGGTTGTCCAACGGTGGGAAATTGCCGCCGAGTCCATGAACTTTCCCGAAATCACGTCCTCTATGTTCATCTGCCGCTTGACCAAGACGCCCAAGTCACGCAACTCCTGATGACGTGGGATGGGCCTGTTTGAAGGTAGTTGTAAGAACTTGTCAACTGGAAAGAACCAAAACTCCATGCCACTGAGCATAGGTTGGGCGGGGTAGAAGCGTTGAACCCGCTTGCTCAGAAATTCAACGACTTCAAGACAGACATCCTTATCAGTGGGATTCGCGGCAAGGATGTCTTCCTCGCATAACGACACGATTGCCTCCTCAGCAGTAGTCTGATGCCAATTAGACATCACGAAATCATGGATTGACTTGGTGTCGCCTTCTTCTGATTCCATACCGTAAACCTTCATCCGAAGGCGTTCCTGACTCGCTGGCACTAACCCTTCCTCTGTCGGCATCTTAGTGGCAATCCAGCATTCCAGATTCGGCCAGAAGCGCTGATTGTAGATGCGGTCGTACAAAACAATCACGGTGCACCCGAGGAAGATGAAGGGCACGACGTTCTCCAAAATCAAGTTGAACTCAGCTTCATCAGCATGGGAACGCTCACCTTGAGGTGCACATACCCAATCGATCCAGGCGTACTTGATTGACGGGGTATCCTTGAATATAGCTTGCAATTTACGCAATTTCGAACCATCTGGGTCAAAACGCCCTTCGGTGGGCCAACGATGAGAGATTGCTGCCGTGTTGCCCACGAAATTTCCTAACATCACGTCGTCAAAATTCATCCTCCGCTTGACCAAGTGCCCGCTGTCGCGCCACTCCTGATGAGATGGCAACTCCATGCCCGCTGGCATACGCATGAGTTCGTCCACAGGGACGAACCAAAACTCCATGCTCCTGGGAACCTCGTCTTCATATTCCACTCTCAAGCTCGACGGTCTCCTGCTGGGTTGGCGGCGGGCCCTCGCAGGTCTACGGACCATGACCCTCATCTTCAACACATACGTTGCACCGCAGACACAGCAACACATTACGACAGCGATCGAACTGATGATGATCGTTACGGTGGGGTCGGCGGTGGAGTCGGCAGAGGAATGGACGGTGGGTGTATCAGCGCCTGCGTCTTCAATCACAAGCGGGGTGCCGACATCGGGGGTCGTCATCGTAGGAGCAACGGTAATCAACGATTCATCACTCCAATCAGCGACAGCCATAGCACGGTCAGTCTCCGTCTTGATAGCGTCGGCAGCTCCAGCAATCGTGGCAAAAAGATCCTCAGCAGCAGTGCCGTCGGCGACCTGAACAGTGAAACTGGTCGTCACAGAGACTGTGTCCGAGAGTTGGCGGACAGTTGCGGAGAGCCGACGGGCATCCACGGTGAAACCCGTAATGGCAATCCGCCACCTTGCCCCCTGGCACGTTGAGGCGTTGCAGAATACCTCTGGTGGGGTTCCCTAAACTTCTAAGAACCCCCCCTCTCACCACTCAGAAGCCAAGCGAATGCTGGCAGACCCGTGGCTGCTAAAGCGGAGCTCTGGGAGATTGTTTCTTCCTTCCGGGAAGCAGCCCTTTTACTATTTGGCGCGATGTATTTGATTCCGGGAAGTTGTTCCCTACCTAGGCTCTGCCTAGAAAGGTTCTTACTCTCTTAGCTTAAAGGGGCCGCGCAGTGGAACTCGCCCCGGGCGGTTCCCCCAGTCCCCTGGGAGCGGTTCCCCCAGTCCCCTGGGAGCTTTAGCTTTAGCTTTAGCTTTAGCTTTAGCTTTAGCTTTAGCTTTAGCTTTAGCATTAGCTTTAGCTTAGCTTTGGCTTAGCTTCAGCTTAGCTTCAGCTTAGCTTCAGCTTAGCTTTAGCTTAGCTTCAGCTTAGCTTTAGCTTAGCTTCAGCTTAGCTTCAGCTTAGCTTCAGCTTAGCTTTAGCTTAGCTTTAGCTTAGCTTCAACTTAGCTTTAGCTTAGCTTGAGCTTAGCTTCAGTTTAGCTTCAGCCTAGCTTTATCTTAGCTTTAGCTTAGCTTCAGTTTAGCTTTAGCTTAGCTTCAGCTTAGCTTTAGCTTAGCTTTACTGTTACTACTAATGCTGCTTTCCTAGGGGCTCCAACTCCTAGGTAGGGTCGCACTGGGATGATTTTGTTTGCTCCGGGAAGACCGTTTTAGCAGCCACGGACTTGCCAGCCCTCGCCCAGCCTGCGAGCCACGCAGTGGTGCATGGACCGCCCCCCCCCCCTACCGAGTCTTCCTTGGCGCCCTGGCGCCTCCCTGGGACTCTTCCAACGCTCCCCGACGCTTCTCGGACGGCCGAGGAAGGTCACAGAGGCTGCAGAGATGGCCCAACAAGCCTCCAAGACTGGCCAAACTGGCCCAAAGACGTCCTAACACTAGCGGGCAGAAAATCCACCCGCATAATGATCACCCCGACACGCGAGGCCGTTTAGCAAACCGACCCACAGAAGGAATCGAACAGGGCAGGGCTGTTTGGTAAACGCCTAGGGCCGTTTAGTAAACGCCGATTGTCGGGTCCGTCCGGGTGCTTTTCTCTCCCTTGAAACATGGCCTCGTGACAACCCAAGAGGCCATTCGTGCTCTCGCATTCTCGGGATCCGTCGGCCAATGAGGCCCAAGAGGCCTTCAGGAGGGCCCCATGACGGCCCAAGAGACCCCAAACAAAGCCTCAAGAGTGCCCCAGAGGCCCTCAACATGGCCCAACAGGCCTCGATGGCGATCCAAGGATGCCCCAAGACAGCTCAAGTGACCCCCCAGACGACCCTTCAGGGTCCCAAGCGGGCCTCAAGAGGGTCCAGGGACGCCATCACAACGGTTTCCGAAGGGTGCCCAGGATCTCCCTAAGAAGGCCAAAGGGGCGCCGAATGCCAGCTTGTGAGTAACAGCAAAAACCACGGGACGCAATTTTAAACAACTAGATGCAGTTGTGAGTACTGCAGTTGTGAGTGTCGTCTTCGGTGGAGTTCACTATGTGCCACGAAAAGTGTCATGGGAACGGCAGGGACGCCCACATGTGGAGGGTGTCTCGCTATGGGGTCACGAAACGGGCGTGGCGCCCACATGCGGACGGTGCCAGTGAAGCCGTCGGTGGAACTCCTGCTGGGCCGCAAAAAGTGCGAACGGCGTGCCCCCACCTGTTAGCGATGCCTCTGGGACCATCGGTGGAACCCCCATGGGGCAAGTAAGCATGCGAATGGTGTGCCGAAACGGGCGTCAAGCCCACATGTGGATGGTGTTCCTGCGGCCATCTGTGGAGCTCCCTACGGGGCCACGACACGTGTGAAGGGTGTGACGAAACAGGCGTGACGCCTACATATGGACGCTGCATGTAGGGCCCTAGTTTGCTCCCTATGGGCCAAAAAGCGTGAGAATGGTGTGCCGAAACGTGTCCGGCGCCACCATGTGGACCGTGCCCTTGAGTTCGCCGGTGGGGTTCCGGATGAAGGCCCCGAAAGCGAAACGCGTGACAGGCGTGCCGAAACGGGAGTGGCGCCCACATGTGGACGGTGCCTCTGGGCCTTTCGGTCGAGCCTCACTTATGGGGCTACAAAAAATGTGGAAGCTATACCGATTCAGGCGTGACGCCGCATGTGGACAGTGCCCCTGTGGAATTCGGTGGAGCTCCTACCAAAAGTCTAAGGGTTATGCCAACACAAGTGCGACGCCTACGTGTGGACGGTGCCCCTGGGGACCTTGGTGGAGCTCCCTACGGGGCCACGTAAAACCTGAAGGTTGTGCCGAAACGGGCGCGACGCCAACGTGTGGACGGTGCCTGTGAAGGCTCCTACGAAACGCGTAAGGGTTGTACTGACACAGGTGCGACGCCAACGTGTGGACGGTACCCTTCTGGTTTTACGGGTGGCGTTCCCTATAGGGCCACGAAGCGTGTGAATGGGGCGCCGACGCGGCCGTGACGCCCACATGTGGACGGTGCCTGCGGGGCCTCCATTGGGGTTTTTGACTGGACCACGAAACGCGTAACAGTGTGCCGAAAAACACGTGGCGCCCGCATGCGGATGGCGCTTCCGGGGCCTTCGGTGGAGCCCAACGTGTGCGTAGTGCGCACGGGCGCGGCGCCCGCATGTGCAAGGTGCTCGTTGGGCCTTCGGTGGAGCTCCCGATGGCTGGCGCCCACATGTGGACGATGCCTCGGGACCTTCCGGTGGAGCTCCCCATAGGCCGCAAGCATATGTGAGGGCTGCGCCGAAACGGGCGCGACGCCCACATGTGGACGGTGCCTTTGAGGCCGTCGGTGGAGCTCGCACGAAACGTGTAAGGGTTGCGCCGACACGGGTGCGACTCCCACTTGTGGACGGTGCCCCTGGGGCTTCAGGTAACGTTCCCTATTAGGCCACGAATCATCTGAAGGGGGGCCGAAACAGGCGCGACGCCCACATATGCACGGTGCCCCTTGGGCCTTCGGTAGTGCTCCCTATGGGGCCACGAAGAGTGCGAGGGCGTGCCAACATGGGCATGCGAAAGGCAAAGCAGGGACGGGAGGGAAGAGGGAGAGGAGGAAGGTGAAATGGAACGCGGCGCTGTCCACAGAACGGTTGAGAAAGAGTTCCCCTGCTCACGCGAATCGCGGCTGGACGCCCGCCAAAGAGAAGCACATGAGGGCGGCGCCGGTGACCAGCGACGACGCCCCGCCGCAGGCTGGGGGGCGACAGGCGCGCCGCGAGCGGCTCCGCTCCCGCGGGGGGGGGCCGCTGCGTTTCTGTCACAGCGGGGCGGTTGAGCCAACATGGCTACTAGCAGGAACGAAGGAAAGGCGGCAGGGAGACGCGCGTCACAGCTGGCGGGCAGGGAGACGTTGCTGAAAAAAGGAAGAACAAGAAAGAGGGGGAGGAGCGGCAAACGCAGGCGGCAACGGCTACCCGCATTCTTTCCCCAAACCCTCTCCCTCACCCCCCTCCACTACAAGATGCCCTATCTGGGCGGGGGGGGCTTCTGCATAGGCCCACCCACTGTAGTCGACGACGACGACGACAACGACGACGACGGCCATGACGACGACGGCCACGACGGACGACGATGCGCTGCGGATGCCCCATTGGGGGGGCGGGGGGCGATCGACAGAGACGGCGACGGCGGCGGCGACGACGGCGAGGACGACGGCGACGACGACGACGACGACGGCGACGGCGACGATGACAACGACAGAGACTGGGCAGTGGGCACAGCAGCAGTCAGCCTGAGAGGTAGAAGTCGTTCTGGCAACCAGGCCCACACAAGAGTGGCTGGCGCCCTTCGGCCGCCCACCTGCTGCCTTCTGGGGCAACCGCTATTCGGGCTGCTCGGCGCCGCTCTTGTCCAGGGAGGCACCGCAAGGCGGCTCGCAAGCCGATTCCTGGCTGGGATTTCCAGCTACGCGTGAGCCGGCAAGCAGCGCTCACGGGCGCGCGCGCGCGCGCGCGAACGTATGCTGCACAACCACATTGTGCACTTTGACCTCCTGACCTGGCTCTGCGCACTAGTTTCTTCGAGCGCGCAGCCCGCGCTCTCAAACCAGTGCGACCCCAAAGCGCACGCCCACAACGGAGTATTCTGGAGCACCCTGGCTGCGCGCGCCTGCCGGCGCTGGACCGATCCGCCATGGCGGGCACGGCGCCCAACAGCGCCTCAAGGTACTCAGCAATGCGCCTGGCGCCCTGCGGTGCGAAAAATACGTAAGCATATTGTTGGGTTACGTTCTTGTTGTCCAACCATCCTGCCGTGCTGGGTCAACGTTTTGAAGAGACACCGGCCCGCGTCTCCTTCCTCCTTCTTCCTCCTCCCCTTCTCCCACCATTGCCTTTGCCCCGCGCATGTTCGGCACACCCCTCACATGTTTCGTGGCCCCATAGGAATCTCCAGCTAAGGCCAAAATGCCGGGGTTCGCATAGCGCCGGTGCCTCACTTCGGCACACCCCTCACGCGCTTCGTGGCCCCATCGGGAGTCCCAGCCAAGGCCCAAATGCCAGAGTTCGCATGGCGTCGGTGCCTCGTTTCGGCACCCCCTCAAAAGCTTCGGGGCCCCACAGGGAGCTCCAGCGACGGCTCAAATGCAAGGGTTCGCATGGCGTCGGTGCCTCACGTCGACACACCCCTCACTCGCTTCGTGGCCCCACAGGAAGCTCCAACCGAAATGCAAGCCAGGCCCAAATTGCCGAGTTCCACCGAATGCCCCAGAGGCACCGTCTACATGTGAGCGTCACGCCCGTTTCGGCACACCCCTCACACGCTTCGTGGCCCCATAGTGAGACACCCTCCACATGTGGGCGTCACGCCCGTTTCGGCACACCCTTGACACGTTTCGCGGCCCATAGGGAACTCCACCGAAGGCGATACTCACAACGACGGCACTCACAGTTGCATAAGGTTGGGTCCTTCGCTTGGATATTTTTGTTTCAAGCGCCTGTCCGCCTGCAGAAAGCGACGCGTTCCGCCCCTCCGCGGACGCGCGCAGCGGCGCAAGCAGCGCCCAACAGCACCAGCCTGACACCTCTAGAGGGAAAGCCGCCCAGCGGCACCGGCAAGGCACTGGCCAGCAAGGGTACGGGCCAGGGGTTTAGCAGCAAGGCCAAGGACCCCATTGAGCACAGGAACTGCTCGTGCCAGGGAGGTTCAGAGGCGCCGCTCCCATCGGAGAGCTTGCAGGCACCGCTCCTACCAGGGAGCCTCTGGGGCGCCGGTCTTATCAGGGAGCTTGTGGGCGCCGCTCCTGTCAAGGGGTTCCAGGGGCGACGCTCCAATCAGTGAGCTCGTGGAGGTGCCGCTCCTACCACGGGGCTCCACAGGCGCAGCTCCTACAACAGGAGCTACGAGGGAGCCGAACCCATCAAGAAGCTTCCGGAGCGCCGCTCCTGTCGGGGAGCTTGTGGAGGCGCCGCGCCTATTAGGGAGCACGTGGGCGCCGTTCCTATCAGGGAGCTCGCGGGCGCAGCTCATGTCAGGCAGTTTCGGGAGCGCCGCTCCTATCGGGGATCAGCTTGCCCCGCCGCTCCTATCAGGGAACACGTGGGCGCCGCTCCTATCAGGGATCTTCTGGGCGAAGCTACTATCAGGGAGTTTCAGGGGCGCCGCTCCTGTCAGGGAACATGTGGCCACTGTTCCTATCAGGAAGCTTTTGGACGCTGTTCCTGTCAGGGAGCTCCAGGGGCGCCGCTCCTACCAGGGAGCTTCAGGGGCGCTGATCCCAAAAGGGATCGTCCAAACCGCCGTCCCCATCAGGGACATTCAGGGACGCCGCTCATATCAAGAAGCCCGTGGGCGCCGCTCCTGTCAGGAAGCTTCTGAACGCAGTTCCTATCGGGGAGCTTCAGGGGCGCAGCTCCTATCAGAGAGCTTCAGGGGCGCCGCTCATATCAGGGAGCTCGTGGCCGCCGCTCCTCCCCTGGGGCTTCAGGGGCGCAGCTCCTATCAGGGAACACGTGGGCGCCGCTCCTAGCAGGCAGTTTCAAAGGCGCCCCTCGTATCAGGCAGATTGGGGGCGCCGCTCCTATCAGGGAACTTCGTGGGCGCCACTCCTATCAGGCACCTTCAGGGGCGCCGTTCCGATCAGAGAGCATCAAGGGCACCGCTCCTATCAGGGAGCTTCAGGGGCGCCGCTCCCATCAGGCACCTTCACGGGCGCAGCTCCTATCAGGGAGCTTCAGGGGCGCCGCTCGTATCAGGGAGCTTGCGGCTCCTGTCAGGGAGCTCGTGGATGAAGCTACCAACAGACAGCATCGGACGCACTACTTCCAAAAGACTTCGTGGCGCAATCCATCGTGCCAGCGGCAACCCGCGCGCACCCCCTTCGGTGAGCGCAGCGTCGGTCCACCAGAACAACCTCATCATGCTTCCGCCACTTCGCACAAGAAGAAACCGCCGGCCGCCAGGAAGAACTGGCACGCGAGGCAGGCGAGGCGCATGATCGACGAGGAAACGAGGTGAGCATACACGGACCAGCCCGTCCTGTGAATTTCCGGCACCAGAAACGAGCTTATGCATGAATGGGCAAGCTGCTCCTCGAATGTAACCCCAGGAAGCATTTAAGAAACCCCCCGGCGATATCTTAGCACCGCATTTTTATTCGATGTTCCGAGGGGCCGAAATAACCGAACGATAGGTTTAGCACCCGGACACAAAACAAAATTCGCGGAGGCCTGGCCCCTGGGCCACAATCGAAATTCGAAATTCAAATCTGCGTGGCTCTCATGAAAGACTCAGAATGTCGCTTGCTGCTTGGACAATTCATGCAATGATAATAATACTAAGATTCGCAAGCATATTTGATGACGCCTAACGATTTGAAAGGATCCGTCAGGTTTCATACAAGTTCCGCAGGATTCTCAAGGATTCCTACGGATTCACAAAGATTCGTCAGGATTCATAAAAGATTCAAAGGATGTCCAGGGATTCCTGAATATTTCCTAGGAATCCAAAGGATTCCTCAGGAATCTGGAGAATTCCAAAAGATTCGCAAGAATTCCTTAAGAGTCCTAAAGGTTTTCCTTTACTGCTTATGAATTCCTGTTCCTTGTCTTGCTCCTCCTTCTCCTCTCCTCCTCCTCCTCCTCCTCCTCCTCTCCTCCTCCTCCTCCTCCTCCTCTCCTCCTCCTCCTCCTCCTTCTCCTCCTCCTCCTCCTCCTCCTCCTTCTCCTCCTCCTCCTCCTGTTCTCTCTTCTGATATGCTGGCCTCTTGGAAGAGATTTCTCATTCAAAACCCTTCTAGAAATTGATTTTCATCGGCCGTCCTAGGGGAAGGTCCACGAGAGGGTATCCCGCCCCCCACCGCACCGTGGCGTTATCTTAGCACCCGGCCACGCGAAAAAACACTCCAGTTCTATTCCTGCGGGTGTCCTAGGGATTCCTAAGGATTTATCTAGGATTCTTAAGGATTCCCTTACGATTCCTGCGCCTTCCTAAAGCTTTCTGTGGATTCCTCAGAATTCCAGAAGACTCCTTTAAATTCCTAAGGGCTCGTCACAAATTCCAGGGGATTCCTCATGAATGTTAGGATTCCTAAGGATTCCTACAGGGTCCTCAGGATTCCTGAGGATTCCTAGAGATTCCTAAACATTCGTTCTCCTCCTTCTCTTCCTCCTCCTCCTCCTCCTCCTCCTCCTCCATCTCCTCCTCTCCTTCCAGTGCTTCAGACTTGTGAGCGACGCTTCCATCTCATCAAGAATCCAATCTGACCTGGGCAAGACACAGGACAATCTGCCGACGATCCGTTCTGAATCAACTGGAAAGGCTGAGAAACCTGGGAAAGCTGAGAAACCTGGGGAAGCTGAGAAACCTGGGAAAGCTGAGAAAACTGAGACAACTGAGAAGCTTTCCCTGCTCCTGCTTCTCCTCCTTTTCCTGTTCATGTTCCTTGTCTTGTTCCTCCTTCTCCTCTCTCCTCCTCCTCCTCCTCCCTCCTCCTCCTCCTCTCCTCCTCCTCCTCCTCCTCCTCCTCTCCTCCTCCTCCTCCTCTCCTCCTCCTCCTCCCCTCCTCCTCCTCCTCCTCCTCCTCCTCCTCCTCCTCCTCCTCCTCCTCCTCCTCCTCCTCCTCCTCCTCCTCCTCTCCTCCTCCTCCTCCTCCTCCTCCTCCTCCTTCTCCTCCTCCTCCTCCTCCTCCTCCTCCTTTTCTCTCTTCTGATCTGCTGGCCTCTTGGAAGAGATTTCTCATTCAAAACCCTTCTAGAAATTGATTTTCATCGGCCGTCCTAGGGGGAGGTCCACGAGAGGGTATCCCGCCCCCCCCGCACCGTGGCGTTATCTTAGCACCCGGCCACGCGAAAAAAACAATCCAGTTCTATTCCTGCGGGTGTCCTAGGGATTCCTAAGGATTTATCTAGGATTCTTCCTCATCTCGTCTCCTCCTCCTGCTCAGGAGAAGGCCCAGAGGGGAAACCCCAGGTGACTTGGGCCCTGACAGGCCTTGGGCCCCGAGGGAAGGAGGGGGGCACGGGAGGAGGAGGGGGAGGAGGAGGAGGAGGAGGAGGAGGAGGAGGAGGAGGAGGAGGAGGAGGAGGAGGGGGCAGGAGGAAGTTCGTGGGTGGAGGAGAGGAGGAGGAGGAGGAGGAGGAGGATGAGGAGGAGGAGGAGGAGGAGGAGGGCTCCTTGTGCCAGGTAACGCTTCCAGGGTGCGGAAGGGTTATCGATTTGCCGGAAGGGGGGGGGGGGTTCTTAAATGCTTCCTGGGGTTATACGATCCCGATGACAACTCCTGTGCAACAGGCAATCGCTTTGATGCTGGTGTGGAGGGGGATGCACGCTCCCCTCGTCGACGCCCGCGAGAACACCCGGCGCGCGCGATTATAAAACAAATAGCTTCGAAACCACTGGGTCTATTCATCAGCCGTGGGAAGGGGGGATCACTGGTGAATCACAAGCTCATGTCATTCGAGGGGCCCCCCAAGACTGCTCCGAGAGACCTCCAAGACGTCCCAAAGGAGACCAAAACTCCGCCCAGAGGCCCCCAAATCGGAGGAGCGTCACACTTAACAGCTCTCCCAAGCCACAGGGCACAAGTTGTCACACGTTTGTGAATACGGCTTCCGGTGCGCTCCTCGAAAGGTCGACACCGAAAGAAGAAATGGGCTGGCACCATGGGGGGACTTGCCGCAGGCAGCTGGACATCAGAAACAGGCACCGCCAAAGCAACAGACAAACCAGTGGCTTTCGCAGCCCTGTATGCAGCGGAAGCATCGAGGTCAGACGAAGACACCGCCGACGGAAAAGTTTCGTACGCTGTGTACTCGGCAAAGACCAAAACTGACCCACTGGGAGCCAGGGTTGGTGTTGGTGCTGGTGATGACTCACTGGGTTTTAGCCCAGACGTGGGCTTTGGTGAAGAAGTGGGCGCTAGCATTGGTGTCGGCGTCGGTGCAGGCGCGGCCGTTGACGTTAGTGACGGAGTAGGCGCAGGCACTGTTGCCGGCGTCGGTACCAGCGTTGGTGATGGCATGGCCGTGGGGATCGGCGCTGGCGTTGGCGCGGATGCGGGCGCTGGCGTCGGCACCACCGTGTACTGGTAGATGTTGTATAGTGCGCTGGAGGCTTCGACAGTGCACAACGCCGAAGAACTGCAATCCGCCGACACCACTTGCCGGGGGTTGAAAAGGCGTGTGAAGCATTTGGCTGCCCTCCTCCCCCTTTCCTCCTCCCCAGGGGTCCAAAATCCGCCGATCCGGCGTGTGAGTTTGAAAGAGCGTGGGCTTGAGCTTCGCTCGAGCTCGGCTCTGTGGTGGGGGGAGTGGGGGGGGGCTCTGCTTTCCGCTCCAGCGCAGCTACGCTCTGTGTGTGGGGGGGCGGGGGGGCGATGTGCTCCGCTTTCCGCTCCGTCGCAGCTCCGCTCTGTGGGGGGGGGGGGCGATGTGCTCCGCTTTCCGCTCCGCGGTCCCGAACCACTCCACACCCGGAATTCCCCCGTCCTGGAGAGCATTCGGTTCCGGACGCCCACCGCGGTCCCTGACCCCCCCAGTCACGGACCGGTTCTGGACCCCCTCGCGGTTCCGGACCTCTCCCCGGTTCCGGACCCTCTCGCGGTCCCGGACCGCTCCGGTTCTGGAACGTAGGGGGGAAGGAGAAGGACGCACAGGACTGATGCCAACACCAGCGGGAAGCCCCCCGGATCGGCGGCACTGGCCGGAGGCCAACACAATCGCATTCGGGGGGTGAGTACGAGCTCGTCAACGCATCCCAGGGGATCTCTGGAACCTCCAAAGAACCCCAGGACCGCCCAAGAGAGCCCAAAAAGAGCGCCGAGACAGTCCAAGAGAGCGTCGAGACACCCCAGGATTACCCCGCGACGGTCCGAGATGGCTTCAAGACAAGTGGTCCCAAGACGGTCCTTGAGGCCCCCAAGGGCCCTAAGACAGCCCAAACAAGCCCCACGAGCGCACCAAGACGGCCCCAGGGGCCGCTAAGACGACACAAGACGACCCAAGAGAGCCCCAAGAGGCGCCCCAGAAAGTGCCCTACGAACTCACACCTCGAGTCGTTCCCGCCGCGAGGGCCCCAAGAGCTCCCCCCAAACCCTCGAGGCGCTCTCAAGAGGCCCCCAAGAGGCTTCCAAGAGGCACCCAAGCGGCCCTCAAGAGGCCCCCGAGGGGCCCCCAGAGACACTCAGATACCCCCAGAGAGCCCTCCAAAAGGCCCCTGAGAGGCATCACAGGAGACCCTCATACTGCATCCTCCCCGATGCTCCTCATCCACTGGCCAGGCACGGCAGCACGACTCTGGAAGAATTCACTGCTATCGGTATGGGGATCGGCGGAATGGCGCAAGCCTCTTGGATAGCATTCTGGCTGACTGCCATAGTACCCGTGGGGAGCGTCCGTATGGATGAGATCTCCGCACCGGCTGTCTGCCAGCGCTGTGCCCACGCACTGCTCCACCGTGTCGACATTGCCAAGAGAGTGGTAACTGGTGGAGCAGAAAGCCCCTGCAGCGTAGACCAGCAGTGCCGCCTCTGTTGCTGTCGGCGGCGTTGGCGTTGCAACATCAGATTGGTAGATGTTGAGGCCCACGGTGGAGAATAGCGGGCTGCAGGTCGTCGAATCGGCGCAAAAGCACAGCAGTCGATGATTCCCGTTCACCGCCCGGTCACCGTGGGGAGCGTTGGAAAGGACTAGGTCCCCACAGCTACTCTCGGCCAGGGCTGCGTCGTGGCACTCGTCCAGCATCGGGCCGCTGGAGTATTCGCCCTCGTACAGCACAGTTCGAATCTCGCAGTAGGACCCCGCCAGATACAGCATCAGCTTCTGTGGTGGTGCCGGAGTTGGCGCCTTTGCCCAAGACGTATACAAGGCGTAATTCGATTCATGACTGTAGTCATCATCGCAGTCTGCGCACGTATTGCAGTTGCTCCACTCTGTTGAATGGTCGAAATACAGGCATGCAGGATCTTCATCGCACAGCGGTGCACACTCTGCAGGAGTCGTTGCGTAGGAGTTTCCACTTAATTGAATGTGATCATTTCTGCAACACTGCCCCGCGGATTTCCACTGGACGTAAGAGAATCCTGCGTCCGTCGGGCTGGGCGTCGGTTGTGGCGTCGGCACAACCAGCTGGCAGCAGCAAATGCATTGGTGGGTTGTGTAAGGTGCGCCACTCTCACAATCTTCGCCGCATTCCCATGCATTTTCCGCGCCGTCGCACGTGTCGCGATACCCAGTACCACACGCAACTGCCATCCGGCGGCCATTGACATGTTCGACGGTTGAGTTCGTCATCAACGTCATATGGCGGCTGCCAGTTGGAAGCGCAGCCGGCGTCTGCGGAATGTCCGGCTTCTGCCCGGCTCCCAGCCTCGGAAACGCCAGCAGCGAGACGGAGAAGCCGAGCCACTGGCGAAGCCGGCGTCGCGCGAGCCGTGCGCCACTGGCTGGGCCGAATGCCACGGCCACTGCGCCGAGCTGGGCAGTCGGTTTGGGCGTTGGGCTGACCGTCGGAATGGGAATTGCACCAGGTGTCGGGCTGGGCGTTGCCTGCATGTTGACTGCCGCCATCTCGGCCACCCGCTCCGCCACGCCGCTCTCGTCTCGCGATGAGTGGAGGGTCATGTGCGCGACGTTCGAGTCCTCCTTGTGTCTGATCATCGATCGTTCTGCCACCCGCTCCGTCATGCCGCCCTCCTCTCGCAACCCATCGGGAGGCACGCCCGCGACGTCCGACGCCTGCACTCTCGAATTCGCCCTCTCGCTCACCTGCTCCGCCGTGCCGCTCTCCGCTCGCGACACTGTGGGGATCACGCTCGCGACGCTCGGCCCCTCGAGCATTCCGACCTTCGGCATCTCGGCCGCGCGCTTCTTCATGCCGATCCCCTGGGAGGAGGAGCAGGAGCAGGAGGAGGAGGAGGAGGAGGAGAAGGAGGAGGAGGAGGAGGAGTGATACCTTGGGGATCGCCTCCGGGTCGTTCGACCCCTCCTTCATCATCGACCTGATCGTTGCCGTCAGTGCGGCTGGCCTGCCCTCGAGCACGCGGAGCACGAAGGACTGGGCGAAAAGGACAGGGGGCAAGGAGATCGAGGCTTCGTCCTCGCTGCCCTTGAGCCCACATGAGTACGGATAAGCTGAGTGAGGGGCCATCTCGAGGCCCTCTTGGACCGTCTTGAGTTCCCCGTGATGGAGACGCAGCGGCAAAGGGCCCCTCAAACACGACCAGAGGAGGCCCTCTTGGACCGCCTTGGAGACGTCTTGGCTGCCTCTTGGGCTCTCTTGAGCCGTCTCGGGGCGCCTCGAGGCCCTCTCGAGGGCTCTCGAAACGACCCACACAGCCAGCAAAGATGGACCCGCGAACCCGGAAAGGGATTTAGAAGTGCGAGGCGTGGAGACGTTTCAAAGGACCTCAATGGGGCCATGGGCTGTGGCAATGCTGAAGATATTGGTGATGATACTGTGCCAGGGGCTGTGTTGTGCTGCGTTGCGCTGTGCTGTGCCGCACAGGTGACGTGCCAGGAGACGCACCAACGGATACGCCACGGGGCGCGCCAAGGGACATGCTGGGGGGACGCGCCGCCGAACGCCCCAAGGGACGTGCCAGGGGAGGGACGTGCCAGGGGACGTGCCATGGGGACGCACCGCGGGACGCGCCAAGAGGACGCGCCACGGAACGTGCCAGTGGACATGCCACGGGACGTGCCAGGAGACGCACCGCGCGACGCGCCAGGGGGACGCGTCAGGGGACGCGCCACGGCACGGGACGCGCCAGAGACTCTCCAAGGGCCACGCGACCCCTCGTAAATTACGCTGCGTCCGCGCTCCCTGGGCTACGATCCATCACAAATTCCGCTGGGCCCGCACTCTCAGTCCCACGATCACTAGAAAGTGATGCTGCGTCCGCTCTCCAAAGGCCACGATCCGTCGTCAATTACGCAGCGTCCGCGCTCCCAGTGCCACGACCCC